TCTGTGGCTCATTCGGAGCAAGGGTGGGCAAACTGCTACCTGTCACCTGTTTTTGTATGGCTCACAGATCAAGGGTTGTTTTTACATCTTTAAATAATTTTTTTAAATCAAAAGAAGAATACTATTTTATGACGCATGCAAATCATACAAAGTTCCAATTTCAGCATCTATACATAATTTGGTTGACACACAGCCACACTGATTCATTTATGTGTGGTCTGTGACTGCTTTTGTGCAGTAACGCAGAGCTGACCAGTTACAACAGACAGACTGTGTGGCCTACAAAGCTCAGCTAGTTACTACCCGCCCCTTTACACGCAAAGGCTGCCAGCTCTTGATTTAGATAAAGTTTTCTGCTTGGTTCCTGTTTAGCGTTAACGTTTTTGGGTGGCAGCCTTTTATCGCTCGTAAAGTGAGCGAACAATATTTCTTCCTTTTCATGGCTAACCATTTGGTATTGGTTTAAGTATGGTACATCTACGCAATTGAAAGTTCTAGAATCATTTATTGGCATAGAACTATGTGTCCAACCTTAACTCTTTGTACAGCATAATCCATAAAAAAGGTTCCAATCAAAAATACCTTCAAAGATCCATACCAAAATTTAGACATGTTTTATCCAAGTGGTGGGATTACAAGTGATTTTTTTCTTCTTTTTGCTTCTCTGTATTTCCTACACGATTTTCAGTGAACAAATATTACTTTTATAAAGAAGAAAAATATGTAATGAAAAACTCTTTGCCCTCTGATGGATAGAAAAATAGAATAGGATATTAATACATTAGGTATTTTTCATCCTTCCCTAAGGGAAAAAAATTGAGTTTTCCTGGGAGATATTGAAGCAAGGGCCTTGGCATCAAACGCCCACTGGGGTTCAGAAACCAAGTCTGTGTGTCACTAGTTCTGTAATCTGGAGTGAACTGCTCACTCTCTCTGAGCCTCGGTTTTTCTCTAGTGTAGAAAAAAAATCCTCTTGGGGCTTTTTCAAGCATTAAATAAGACAATGCTTTCAAAGCAAGTAACAACTCATGTAGTGACAGGCACATCAGCATTAAAAAGCTGCCAGTTTTGGGGCTTCCCTGGTGGCGCAGTGGTTGAGAGTCCGCCTGTCAATGCAGGGGACAGGGGTTCACGCCCTGGTCTGGGAGGATCCCACATGCCGCGGAGCGGCTGGGCCCGTGAGCCATGGCCGCTGAGCCTGCGCAACCGGAGCCTGTGCAAGCTGCCAGTTTCCAGCATACTTTATGGAGAATATTTGCTATAAAGATGTCCTGCCTTTTGCAGCAGTGTCTTTGTGACAAATCCCTAAAGTGAGATGTGTGGATCAAGTAGCAGGGGAAGGGGAGGCGTGGGCAGGAGGGCAGCAAGGGCACAAGAATGCCAGCTCTCCTGAGGACGAGGGAAATGGAGTGTTCAGAAGAACCGTTGGTTGTTTTTTTCCTTCAGTTAGGAAGCTTCCATTACAGCCTGCAGCAGTCGGGAACAGCTAGATTGCTGCAGGGAGGGAGAGTGGGCGTGGGCAGAATGTGTGCATGTGTGTGACGGAGTGGGTCTTGGAGGAAAATTGTTCCAACGGTTCACAGTTGAGCTCGACGGTTTGGAGTGTCTGTTCGGAGGAAAGTGCCAGGCATTCCGAGATGCAAAAAACACAACTCCAGAGGAAGCTACAGTCCGTCATGGTGGGTTGAGAGAGGGGACTCTGGGGAGAGATTTTGGGCACTTGATCACTTGTGCGTCTACCACATTTTCTAGTTCAAGTAAATAGCATTCCAAGGAGTGCTTGCACACTCAAGGCTTATTAGCAAGAATGAAGATTATTACAACAGTATTCTTACAATTACCTTGTTTTGAGGAAATGATTGGGCCAGGAATAAAAAGAGTCACTAAAAACATCTAAAGATAAGTTAGGGGTCTAGATGCCAAGAGCTTAAGAGAATGGGAAAAGGTGAAGAGAAGATTCTAGGTAGGGCCCATTGTACTTCAGCAAACATCAAGGAGCAACCCTTGGGTGGGATAACACCAAATGTAAACTCTTCAGTGTGCCATGTTCTTCTCATCCTCTTTGTCCTTCTTGTTTTCCAGGGAATACTGAACTTTTCCCGGGAAAAGCTCACTTTCCACTTTTACTCTCTCGCAGGCCCTCTCCATAGCCATACATTCCCAGCCTCCTAGACTGGCGCTTACTGTTAACACTGGCATGTGAATATGGCATGTGAATCTCGGTCCTTGACATTCTATCCTCGAAGCGTCAATGGCCTATGTGAGCTGCAATCTCAAGATACCTGGGGGTAAAACAAAGCAAAACCTGTCAAAAACACAACCATTTTTTCATAAAGTTCACTCTGTCTCTCCCTGTCCTGCCTTGCCACTCATATAGTGCACTGCACAGTTATTATTTTTTCTATGCTGTATACTTCTCTGCAGGTTTTTTTAAACATATATTTGCATTATGTTATTTATTCTAATTTTAGGATGGGTCAGGCAGGCCTTTGCTACATCAAAGAGACATAAATCATTCTCTCTTAATGTGTTCATGCCTGAAGTATTTAGAGTCTGTATAATTATATTGCTCATGTCTTACTCCAAAAGATGTACATTCTTCTTAAATATATATTCTCTCTCTGCATCTCTTGAGGATGCAGAGAGAGAATATATATATCATGTTGTAAAAGGCACCCCAGTGAGGTGTCGTACCCCCATCTGCAGGAAAGGCACCCAGTAGACCAAGACTATGTAGGATTTATTTATGTTCTACAGGATCTGGGAGAACGTATCAGCTGGGCCCCCTCTGTGATTGGAGGTGGTATGTGGACCTTGCAAGCATTGGTAATGTAATGTAAGTTATATTATATATCCGGAAACCTGTTTTAAAGGAAGGTACCTAGAGTCACAAAATAGTTTGTTCATCTGTAAAGGGGATGAAGGTGGGCCTGTCAGAAGGAGCTAGACCCTCTGAGTCCCGGAACTTGTGTCCTTGCCACTGCTGAAGCTGGATAATCTGAACCACTCCAGGGTGACTATAAATTACCCAGTTTCCACACCGTTGTCTCCAGAGGGTCAGAGAAAGTGGTGTCTTCATTGAATATTGACAATATAGCCTGAAGCGTGATGGGTCAGTTTCCAGAGGCTAGGGCAAGTGCGTTCCCTCCAGGGTAAGGTAAAGACTCTCCTGGGCCACATCCTTGAATCACAGCGGGGTACCTGGAAGTCCTCTGCAGAGGAATCAAGACTGTGTTATGAGGTCTTCAATACCTTGCAACATCTCCTTGGGCTTCTGGCTCCGGGAAAGAAAGATCCTCGATTCCACACACATACTCACGCTCACACATACACACACGGACTCACACACATTCAGTAATACACACACGTAAACATTCACAAATACGCAATGCACCCACACACACTCACACATATACACAGTCACCCATACGAACACACACATAAACACTCAGATGCACACGTATGCAGATACCAGCTGGGTACTGTGCAGGCCCTCTCCATAGAACTATCTCTAACCCACAGCCCTCACCCACCACCTCTGCCCTCATGACACACTGACCTTGAGCTAGTGTCCAAGTGACCCTGGCTCTCCTGGGCTCACTCCGTGAATTATCCCTATCCCGGTAGCTCTAGGGTTGAGTCTCTGAAACCAATGCTGAAGGCTGAAGACAGGGAAACCCAGGAGAGCAGAGGAAGGCAGTGCCTTTCCTTCCTTCATCTATAAAAATGTTGGCCCTGATGATCTCTTCCATCTCTCTGGCTCAGGACAAACTCTACAACTATCAATGTCCAGTAGGCACCTTGTGGTAGGAGGTGTATTATGCATCCGGTTTAAAATTGAGTGGGGCAACTGAGGCACTTCTCATGACGATCAAAGAAGGAATTGGCAGTGTCACTGAAGCACCGGTTCTAATCCTGACTGACAAAGAGACAACAGGGGTCATCTCTCACTTTCTTTTTCTCTTTTGTAAACCTACCTATCTTTACTTATTTTTCTATTTTTCATTACCCGATAATACATGATTATCATAGCATTGTGAAAACTTCCAGAAATACGAGTTAAGCCAACATCTGTCTGGCATCTGGCCCCCTCCTGTAAGACAGCCTGTGTTAGCGGGCAGCGTATGGTCATCCAGACCGTAGAATGTCTGGTGGAGTTTTTTCCTGACACAAATGGTACCCACTGCATAAATTGTCTTATAACTTGCCTTTTCCCCCCTTTAATTATATGTCTTAAAGGTCTTTTTATTAAGTGATTTTTTTTTTATCAAACAAGTCAATAAACTTCAAGGGGTGGGAGCTTTCCCCATTTCTGCCAAGTGCCACGCTGTGCTTGCGGTTCTGTCTGAAATTCCCGATCCTGGGCTACTGCCTTTTCCCATCTGATGGTTACAACACTCGCTTTGCAGTGTCTCTGGGCTCCTGCCTGTCTGCTGTGGCCACGTGAAGGAAGCAGAGTCGTCTTACTGTAATTATTTGAGGTTCTGGGCAGTTTTCTGTGCATCAAATCCAGTAACACAAAACAGAAGAAAACCATTATGCCCCAAACCCAGCTATTTACTCCCTCCCACACATTGTTTTCTGGGAAAGGGAGACTGCAGTCATCTGGGGAAAGGATCGGCCACCATCCTCAGCGAGGTCAGAGAGCCGTGATACACAGCGAGCACTCTGGGCTCCCAGGAGGGCCAACCCCTGGCAGATGGGACCTTTTTCCAGGAACACTAGCCCAGTATTAGAGCCACGCAGATGTGATCAGACTCCCCCCCCGCCCAGATCCCGTTTCCATCACTTACTAGCTCTAGAACCTTGGGTTAGATACTTATCTGTACATCTCATCCTTATCATCTAGAAAATGGAGGTAGTAAAAACTACAGGGGGTTTCGTGAAGTGTAAGTGAGGGAATGCATGAAAAGTCCTTAACACAGGGTATGGCATGTAGTAATTCCTCACGAAATATCGCCTGCTGGCTGAGCTCTCCCCTCCCCTTCCTTCTCTTCCAGATCTTCTCAGTGGTTCCATCCACTTGCGTCTGCCCAGCTCATCACCCTTTCCCGGTTCAGGTAAGCTCACAATAGCTAGAAACCTGCCTGCTGCCCCAGCCTGGCCCTTCCCCTGGGGGGGTTGCCGCCTGGGATCTGCGTCACTCAGCTTTTCCAAAACCCACAGAGCTAGTTACTACAGAGCCTCGCTCAACCCTGAGCCCAGCTACAGCTTATCTTCACTCCCTCACGCGTTCATCGTTCATTCTTTCAGTACACGTGTACATTAGCACCTACTCTGTGCCAGGCACTGTGAGAGGTGACAGAGGTAGAAAAAGACACAGTCCCAGCTCTGAAGGAAGCCCAGTCTATTGGGGGTTAGAGGCCAATCAACTGGCCATTACAATGTGGGATGACAAATCCGTGCTCTGGTGGGAAGGTGTGTCCAGGCTGCTTCAAGGAGGGACATGCACACCAGGCTTGGGTGCCTTCTCCAATTTTTGACAGTTTCTCTAACTCTCCCTTCCAAATCTCCTACTGAAGTTTTTTATATCATCAATTACATTTTTAATTTCCAAGTCTCCTTCCTTGTCCTGATTATTCTTTTTTCATAGTAGTTCTTAAAAAGTGAGTAGGAGTCAGCCAGAAATGTGTATTTGGACCAGGACAGATTCTAACAACCTGAGCAGGAAACCTGGTTATGACTATCCCAATCTCCCAAGGTCAGGTCCTCTGTAAGATCCAGGGAGACAAGGAACCAAGCTGATAAATGCAGTCATTCATTCCTTCATGCATTCAATCCGGTGAATTCGTTGCATCGATGTTATTGTTGTCTGGCGTTGCAGGTTATGGTTTGGGTGGTGCGGGCATGGTCTGTGCTTTCAAGAGTTCACTGTTGAGTGGAAGAAACTAGCATGTGAAGAGTTATAACACCAAGGGGGTAAGCACCCCGTTCATCAGTATATGGATTGATTAGGAAGCCACTGAGGAAGAGACTGGGCTGGGGCAGCTGGCGGGGTGCCCACAGCAGAAGAGTCTTAAAGGATAAGAAGTAATTCACCAGGCAGAGAAGGGACCGAGGAAGTAGCAAAGGGGGAATGGCATTCCTGGCAGAGAGAAAGGCATGTATTAAATCAAGAGGTATTAAAGGGCTTATGGCCCTTGAGACTGGTGAGAAGTTCTCTGACCAGAACCCGGTGTTCACTGAGTCAGGGAGGATGGATGGGGAGAGGACACGGTGAGTATGAACTGTGCAAAGTCTCGCCTGTCATGTTCAGGGGCTTTTTTTTCTTTCTTTCTTTCTTTTTTCTTTCTTTTCTTTTTTTTTTTTTTTTTTTTTTGTGGTTCTTAAACACTTATCATGGACCCTTTTGAAAATATGATGAAAATTACAGGCCTTCTCACCCCCCAAAATGCACATACACATAAAGTTTCAGGGCTTAAAGGATCTGAAACCCATTCCCATTCCTCAACTAAGGCAGCGGGGAAGCCCCTGACAATTTTAAGCAGGAATGTCCTGTTCAGATATAGGATTGAGTTCTGGCTCTTCCATTTCCAGCTGTGTGTAGTGGCAGCAGCCTTGCAGCTCACCACGGGTTGCAGTGGCAATTGAGGTGGGCGGTTCTGTGCAAGCTTGGACATGTCCTCACGTTGGCAGTTGCGGCTCTGGGGACCCATACAAAGCCTCAGTCCCAGGGCAGCTCCCGACCTAGAGGCCTAGGGGAGAGGGGTATCCATGCATAAATGCCCCAACTTCCTTTTTTCCAGGTCACCGTCCTTCCAATCACTTTCTTTCTTCCAGAAAATTCCAAACTATCTCATAAGCTGATGATTTGATAAACCTATCCCATTCTCTTTTTATACCTTTTTTTTTTAAAAACAAAGTCTTTAACGTATTGTGATTATCAGGAGGAAAAAGAAGTGCTTGTACTCAGTTGACAATGACTAATGAGACATCTGTTTAAAAATTTTTGTACTACTTAGAGTAAAAAGTTTAAAATTTAAGCCTTTAAAATACATGTTTAAATTTAAAACAAATATCAAATAGGGATTAAACATTGAGATAAATTAGAACCAGAATGGCTAAAATCCCTAAAACTGGGATTAAAGATGAAAACATTTAAAAATCACTTTTCATTGACCAAGTATAATGCCATGTGCTCAGAGTTCCACTACAACATTCTGTACAAAAGGCAAAATATTCGGAGTATGTGCTATGGTCCTAGGTTATGTAAAAAGGGAAATAGTGCTGAGTCCTAGTTTTGAAAAAGTGCATCCTCCTCCTGGTCCCAGTGTTCGAGATGGTTCAACACTGCAGGACTAGGAGGCCAAGGGCTTACAAGTTAATACAGGTGTTTGTTTTTTAAGTGGTCAAGTCATTGAAAAGAAAACTGAGGAAAATGATTCATGGCTGTGACCTTGACTTCTATCAACCTATGGTTGTGGCATTGTGTAGAGAGAATTGGAGTCCCCAAATCCTCTGCTTGCCTAAATACAGACATATAGGAGAAACTGGCATGAAGGTAGGAGAAGGTGCCGGGACAAATAAGATTATTAAGAAGAAATCGAGTAGTCTTTCTACTGCTTCTTGTCTCTGTGGTATAGGAAACTCACTTTTTGTGGTCTCTGAGCAGGATATCCAGAGTCTGTCATGGCCAGGAATCTCTTGGGAGAGGGGCAAAAAGCGAGAAGGAGGATAGGGAGGGGCGGAAAGGAAAACACAAATGGGAAATTTTAAGAACTTCTAAAATTTAAATTTTCTTAAAAGCTTTGTGAGGTCTTATTTTGTTTCCATTGTTGTTGTTCTCTTTTGTTTTGTTTTGTCTAGTTTTACCAGAATTTCCCATAGCAATGTATAGAATGACCTGTAAAAAGAACTCCAGCACTAGGGAGAGAGGACTGCTTAAACATCTCATCAATTTATGGTCGGTTTCAGTGCCTTCTTCTGTGGCTTTCCAGGATATTGGAATCACCAGGGAGGCATTAAAAAAGATGGATGCTTGGGTCTGTCTCCTAGAGATTCTGATTTAGTCATGAGTGTGACCTGGACCTCAGGATTTTGAAGATCTTTCCAAGTGATTCTAAAGTGCAACCAAGGTTGAGAACTACTGTTTTTAGTTACTATCTCTTATATATTACGTGAACACAAATCACCTGGGTTTCTAGTTAAAATGCAGATTTGAATTCGGTAGGTCTGGAGTAGGGCTCAAGAGTCTGCTTTGCTAACAAGCTCCCAGGTGATGCAGATGCTGCTGGTCTGAGGCCAAGACTTTGAGAAACAATGGACTAGAGATCTCTGAGGTCCTTTTGAGGTATTATTCTACCAAGATGTGGATTTCATGCTTTTATATATCACTCAGTTAGGACTCAAACAAGTTTGAGCGTTATGGTATAAGTAGTTGATGGACTGCTATGCAGCCATGGAAAGTTATGCTTATGAAGATTATATACTAATAATGGAGGAATGTTTATGTCATAATGGAAAATGAAAACATGATGGCAGATTAAAATGTTATATGCTCACAAATATGTCAAACAGAAAAAGTGCATCATTGTCATAATGTGGTTCTTCCCACTAAAACATTCTATTTCTCTGTGTAAAATACCATCTTCATGTCTGTTGAATAACTCAGGGAGCACCTCAAATTGTAAGTAGTCACATGAGACAGGGGAAAGATGGCTAGGGCAAGTACCAGGACAAATTCTTGAGTAATCTCACCAGGTAACTAGCTAGCTATGTGACCTTGGACACATTGCTTAAATGCAGTGGGGCCTCATTTTTCCCTTTTGTAAAATGGGTATTAATAGAAATGCCTACTTCACGGAACATCATAAAGATGAAATGAGATAGCAGGCACTCAATAAGTGATGACTCATATCTAAGCATCTTGATTTGCTCATCAGGGAATGAGAGAGTAGACTAGAAGATTTCTAAGGTTCCTCAAACTCTAACTTGTGAGGCTGGAGAGCTTTACTTTTGGAAGATTTATAGAAACAAGATTACTTGGAATTGCTCTGGATGTCAAATCAGTTCTTACAGTTCTTAGCACTGTACTAGGCAGCAAGGACAAAAAATGAATAACTAAGAGGAGCTCACAGTCAAACAATTCAATACAGTATGATATGTGCCGTAATGGAGACATATACAAAGTGCTTTGAGCGTCTCAAAGTGGATGTAGTAGAGATGGTGATAACGTGGGTCTTGAAAGGCAAGGGGAGGAAAAGGCATTCAGGCAGAGGAAAGCACATGTTCAAAGGCTTGGAGTCATGAAAGAAGATTGTGTGTCTGGTGTGGCTGGAGCGTATATGGGTGGGGTGGGGGGTTGGGAAATAAGGATGAAATCTGGATTGAGACAGTTTATGGAGCACCTTTTTGGCTACAATGAGGACTTTATGACATACTCTTTGAACTAGGGAGTAATATAATCAGATTTGTGATTTTAAAATAAACTCTAACAGTGGTGAGGAAGATGATCTTGAAAAAGGGAGGCAGGTGGGAGGTTATGACAATAATCCAGGCAGGGGTAACAGAGAAACACAAAAGGGTGTATTAGAAAGATTGATAGGCCTTAATGATTGTTTGCATGTGCTGGCTTGGGCAGGGAATGAGAAGAGGAATTCAAAGATGCCTGTGACCTATATAGAAAATCAGGAGGGCAAGGTGGTGTGAGAAGTGCTACTATGGATACATTAGATGAAGAATCCATGAAGACAGTGCAGATTCGTGGATATGTGTGCCTCTAAGACTGGAAGAAGAGAGGTTACAGGATCTGTGTGCCAGTGGTGAAGTGATGGGTGCGTCAATGTTTGTCTCTGGAAACACCAGCAGTGTTAGGGGTTTCCAAGGCAACCTGTCTCTAATGTGGACCAAGGACAGCCTTACCAGCATCACAGCCCCCTGGTGCTCTGTCAAGGCTCTGTCAAGGCCCACTGAGATAGAATCTGCAGGATGAGAGATGAGCATTTACATCGCAGCAAGTCTCTCTTTGCTCTAAGAAAAATAGCCCTTTAAATACTGATGAAAGCTATGGACACAGTACCATCCAACAGAAATATAATGTGAGCTAAGTAGGTAGTCTTGG